TGTATCTTCTAGATTGATTGTTAAGAGAAAATTTGTTATTCTTGACTCATTATATTTTTAGTGTCTATTATTGGGTTATAATCAGTCAAAATGAGATTCAAATATTGGTCAAAGAAGGTTTATTACCTAGTGAGGCAGGGGAGCCTAAACTAAACTTGTGAATCCTGTTTTGAAAAGATAGATAATCCTAAGGGTTTTAATCAACCATATGAAATAAACATAAAGAACAATTGGAGTTGGTATACACTGACATGTGTGGTCTTATGAACATCCAAGCAAGATTACTCACGTTTTGGATACATTTACCTAATGTGACACAAGTCTTAAACTTTTAAAATATTCTGATAGTATCAAGACTGATGTGGAGCACATATTAGGTAAACTTATTAAAATACTTTGATCTGATCATGGATATGAGTATTTCTTGGGATAGTGCAAAGATTATATGGTCAATGAGGGTGTTGTGTACCAGTTTTCTGTAATTGATGCTCAATGAATTGAGGTGTCAAATAAAAATAATAGAATTCCACTTAGCATGGTTGGATCTATGATCAGTTATGCTATATTATCTCTTTCATTTTAGAGTTTAGCCTTAACGATATCGATGTACATTATGAACTGTGTTCCATCTTAGTTTATCTCAAGGATACCTTTTGAGCTGTGTTTTTTTACTAAATCTTAGTTTTAATCACATGCACATATAAGGTAGTTTTGCACATGTGCGCTTGATATGGACAAGTAAGTTGGAAGTAGATCATAGGCATGCTTGGTCTGATGGCTACTCTAAGGGCACTAGGATGGACTATTTTATAATCTCAACGATAAAAGTTGATTGTTTACACTCGCTATTTATCTATAGGAGGATTATATTACGAATCACATACCTAGTAGCATAATGTTAGAGAATATGGTATGAGTACCAATTGTATCACATATGAACGCAATTATTATAGAGATTAAGAATTATATATGAATTTCCTATTGATGCGTAAACATCATCTAGTATATAGATTCCTGCATCAGTACATTGATGTAGTGGGAGGATTATTATCCAATCCGATAGAATTGTGTTTTTAGGTGAGACCTTTATGGACATCCCTGTTAAACATGAGTTGGACCCAGTAAGTTACACGGAAGCGTGAACCGATATGGATATAGATCGTTTTGGCAAGTTGCTATGAAATCAGAGTTATAATCTATCTATTTTAATAAAATCTAGGATCTTATAGAACTTTCTAGTAAGGTGATACCTATAGAAGACAAGATAAAAGGATACCAAAAGATTTCTTATTTTTTCTAAGTCTATATATTGATGATATCTTACTTATTTATAATGATGTTGAAGTTTCGTCATCAGTAAAGAGGTAGTTGTTCAATTACTTGAAATAAAGGATATTCAAGATGTAAGCTATATTCCTAGGATTAAGCTTTTGCAAGATCAGGTTAAAAGAAAATAGGCTTATCTTAATAATCCTACATTGATAAAGTTTTGACCAGGTTTGGTATGCAAAACTCAAAGAACGAGTTCTTGCTTTATTGATATAGATTGCTCTCTCTAATAAGTAGTTTTCCAAGACTAGTAGAGGAGATTGAGCAAATGAGACTGTAGATTCTCATATATGCCATGGTCTATACTAAACAGGACATCCGTTATAATGTAGGGATAGTTAGTAGATATCAGTTCAATCATGGATTTAATAACTGGTCTGTTGTGAAAAATATCATAAAGTACCTTAGGAGAACCAATGATCTCATGGTCATTTATGGATGTGATGATGTGGTTCCAGTCGGGTATGCTAGTTTTGATTTTCAATCAGATGTAGATATTACGAGGTTCATGACTTGGTGTATGTTCAATCAATGGAAAGGAAATCAGTTGGTAGAGTGTTAAGCAAATTTTAACTGCTTACTCAAATATGAAGGTGGAGTACATTGCAGCCTTAAAGGTAACATAGGAAGCCTTTTGGTTTGATCTTACTGATTTAGAGGTTGTGGAGCATACTAGTTTGCCTATTAAACTATATTACAACAATAATGCAGAAGTAGCCCAAACCAATGACCCAAGGCTCCATAGAGGAACAAGGTACATTGAGAGGAAGTATCATGTATCACATGATATTGTTCAGCAAGAAAATGTACTCATGGTTAGAATATTGCATTGGAACACAACTTTGTTGATCCATTAACAAAGGTGTCATCGATCAATAATTTTGATCATTACCTGGATAACATTGGAGTTAGATGTAATTTGAATTGGCTATGAGGGCAAGTGGGAGTTGTTGGGATTTATATGTCTTAGCATAGCAAATTCCTATTTAAATTATAATGATATATGTTCCTGACATATTTGAAATATTTATGATTTATATAATTGGTGAATTCAATGTATTATATTTCGATTCATTATGTAACTGATAATGTCCACTTGATTACAAGAGATATTTATATATGTATGTGATGACGATCAATACATGACTATAAATAGTAATCATAAATTGTTTATTGTCAGTAATTATGGATGGACTCATTATTAACTAAGACTTGAATTGGATCCGCGTTAGGTTGAGATATATTGCGAGAGCCGTTGTATGCAATTGCTCCCTATCACTGTCATGACATTTGACTCTTAAGTATGAGAGAAGTATAGATTTTTTTATTAATAAGTAATTACTTTAATTTGTTTGGCAGAATTTTCAGAATCCTTAGACCATTACTTTGGGTAATTATGTAATTAATAGTTAGAGGGTTATATTTTCAATATTTGCATCATTACTACTTGTATTTATTTTGTATTGATTATGGTTGATCATAAAGTAAATTCGAATGATTATGGTTGATCACAAAGTAAATTCGAAGGTATTCGTGTGTTTTTAGACAAAATAATTTATTATATATTTATTTAATTAAATTATTATTTTTGTCAAACAAATGTTTTATTGTGATCGAGCTGTAAATAATTAAAGGTGTCAAAATAAATATAGCTTTATTTTTCCGATAACTAGTTATGCATATAGGGGTCAAAGTGCGATATTGACTTAGAGGTTATTTATTATTTAATTGGAGTTCAATTAATTTCTTTTAGTGGAGTAGAAATACATTAATGAATTAATTTAATTAGGTCTATGGACCGGACTAATTATTAATTCATTGTAGCCAAGAAAATAATAAGCCCAATAGGATTTTCACTCATAGCCCAATTTGATAATGGAATCCTATTAGATTTGATATATCACGTTACTTTTAAAGATTGAGAAAAATATAATGTCTTTAATTATTATTTTTATGTTGCCTATATATACATGGAGTCCATGTATATTTTAAGTTAAGCTTTGTAAAATAATTTTAGAAAACAAGAAAATATTTTCTCTCTCTAGAATTTTAGGGTTAGTGTTCTTATCTGATGGAGGCTCCCACAAGCATGTTTTTCCAAGGTCATTCATGGACGCTTATTGGTGATTCCTAAAGGCAAAATAATTACCAAGAAAATGGAGTAAGGAGAAGGCATCTAGCAAAGGGATCTATAATAAGTGAAAACATTCACTTTAGAGGAGGATTTAATGTTTACTTAAACCTTGATGTAAGTTTTCTATCCCTAAATTGAATGGATCATCATATTCTTCATGCATAAAACTTGTCTCTACACATGAATTAAGATCTTTATTTGAAAAACCCTTATAAAGTTTTAAAAACTTTCGTTCTCCCAACCGGTACTGTTGAAAAAAATTAATGATAAATATTTTAAAAATAAATATGATAGTTTAATTTTTTGAGGCTTGTCCAGCCCGTTTTGGGCCTTGACCAACTTGTGGTAGTATAAGACCCAAAATTATTTGACCTTTTAACCATATCCAAGAGTAGAACTGATTACTTTACTTTTTTTTTTTTAACTAAAAATATAAATGTTTGCGTGAATATATATAGTGGGTATTTTCAAAAATTGAGTGGGAATGAGAATGAGAGAGAGTATTGATTATCATAAATGTGAGGAGTAGAGAGTGAAAAATAGAGATGATTATCTTTTAGAAAAAAAAAAAAAAAATTTTTTTTTTTGAATGTAGGCAAGAATGTTAAGTGGGATATTTTTACCAATTAAGTGGGGGCATTTTTAAATAATAAATATAGTTAATAAGGTAAATAAAAATAATTCCAGTGGGGCCCACTGGTCGTTGATTGGGTCCGTGCCTGGTTGTTGTGGGTGGTGGTGATGGTGGTGGGTTTTTCAGTGGGTGGCCGTAATGTTTATTTTTTTTTATTTTTATTTTTCAAATCAATGTTGTCCATTAATATGCTTTGAAAATGTTAGAATGGTAAATTCATAATTCAAATAAGTCAATTCATAAGTCGGTAATAAGGTATTTTTATGTCTGATTTGGATGTCATTGTTCAATTTACCAAATTTGGGGGTATTATTGTCCAAAAGGTACCTAAATTGTAGCAATAAGTCTTTAACCCAAAACTAGAGGATGTGAGAGTAATTTACCCATAATAATAATAAGAAGAAAGGAAATTATAAAATTGGAAAGGAAATTTGGATAAAAAATTAGGAAAGAAAGAGCTTACACGTGTGCTCGTTGGGTCAGATTAATTGCAACGTGTCTGCCCATAAAACTTGATGTCCAAGTAAGTTTCATAAATAAATAATTAATAAATAATTTTCATTTTTCTGTATATGTAAAACAGCACTGTACAATACCATAAAATTACCGAGTGTTTTCCAAAATTGATCGCTCCTCTAATTATCCTACTTCGGGGAGGAAATCCATCAAATAACGCGCATTTATTATATATATATATCTTTTTCTCTCTCTTAAAACCTGCACTCGGTTGTCTAAACCCTTTTCATTCTGCTCCCAAGAACCAATTTTCTCTTTCTCTTTTTCTTTCTTAAATTCTCGTTCGACCCTGTTCTCCTTTTCTTTCTCTCTCTTTTTAGAAGTATATATATATATATATATGTACCTGTTGTGGCAAAGAAAAAGGACCGTGGAGTGGCAACGACGATGGATGAAATTTCTGGTAAGGCTTTTACCTGTTCTTTTTATAATTAATATTGTTAACCCATCCTCCTTTCTTTCTTCTTTTGCTTTTTTCTTTTTAATTTTATTTTCCTGGGTCTTTTAAGGGAATTCGGTTTTTTTTTTTTTTTTGAACGAGAATTTTTATTTAAAAAGGAAAAAGAAAAAGAAAAGGATTAAATATACATATACAAGAAGTCAGAGATCTTATAATATTGATTCTTAGAAGAGCTCATTAATTAGCTTATGGACACTGGTGAATTACAAGAAGTCAGAGATCTTAGTTCGCTAGTAGTTCTTTCTCTGATCAAATTTCTATGTGTATATTTATTTCTGTCAATTAAATTTGTTTTTTTACTTTTTTTATATGGAGATTCGAACCCTAGAATTTCTACTTTGGAAGGGAAAAAGTACGTCCAGTTATAGGTTATTTTAGTTAATAATTTCATATTCTTAAGAACCAAAAGTCAAATTTCTAATCGATTAGTGATGGCATATATTCAGAGTTTTTCAGGCACCAAAATTCTCCAATTTTTTACCATAATTCAGGCACCAAAATCAAAATTTTCATGTAAAATATACTTCACTCTTCAAATTACAAGAAATTCTCTTTAAGGAACTATTTTTTCTGTGCTTAATATATTTTGTTTCATAGGCAATAAAACCTTCTTACATCAATTTTTTCATGAAAAATATACTTTTACTCTTCAAATTACAAGAAATTCTCTTTAAGGAACTATTTTTTCTGTGCTTAATATATTTTGCTTCCTAGGCAATAAAACCTTCTTACATTTTTTTCCCCAGGAAAATTTAGTGCAATATCAATCAATGGTAGCAGTGGCTATCCCTCACCAGTGAAAAGTTCACTGCCTTCTACTAATAACCCGGAAACTGTTTACTTGGGAAGGCAGAGAAGATATGTTGTTAAGTCGTCCCCAGCATCAGTCAACAACAAGCATCCATCAGTATTCAATAATTCAGTATCTGAAATGCTAAATGATGGACTCAATGGAGTTTCTTCTCCCGGTTTTGATTGGTTATCTGAGGATCAAAAGGAGTATATTAGGTTTGGACAAGTCACTAGTAAGAAGGATTTTTTTCATGTTGAGAGGGTAAATGGAAGGCCGACGAATGTGCTTCATGGACTTGAGCTACACACTGACGTTTTTAGTTCTGAGGAGCAAAAGAAGATTGTCGAATGTGTCCACAATTTACAGCGCATGGGAAAGAAAGGACAGCTTCGAGGTATTTATGCAGATGCCTCTCTCTGTTCTGTTAGCTAAGATGCTAACATTTATTGCCCTATTTTAGATGATTTTACTGTTAGTTAATTTTTAATCTAATATATTGCATGTTCATAATAGAAAAATATATGTTAGAAAGTGGATGTGAATGGGTAATTAGTGAAAAGATTGTTCTGAAAAGTAGTCTTGAGTCTTGACATTGCTTTGTTTTAACTTTTAAAAAAGAAAACAGTTAGAATTGTAAAGAGTCTGTCCTTGTAAGTTCCATCATAACGCTTTTCTTATATATAGATTAATATAGTTTTCCAAGTGCATTTCATTGTTGTAACAAGTAATTTCATATAACCTTGTTGCAGTATAAATAAATTGCTTGGAAGTCCCGTGCAGTTGCAATGCACATATAAATTGCTACATACGTACGCTTTGAAATGTGTCTTTTGCGTGTTTAGTAGCATTCTTTGATGTCAGAATATGTTTGCCTTTATACTTGTTTAGACTAATTACATTAAATATTTTAGAAATTGACCTCCTGCAAGATTCTACTTTGATAAGTGGCCAAATTACTTCTGCATTGAGGTGTTATTAGCACAATTAAATGACATATATAGTAGAAAAATCAGGCATCATATGTGGACTTCCATTTTTAATCTTAATATTCCCTTCTTCTTCTATTATTTGCAAGGATTTAAAAATATGAATATATAGTTTTTTTTTTTTGAAAGGTAAATATATGGTAAATTTTAGTTTGCAAAATTGAACGTTCATGATTAATCAATGTATACTGTAGTTAGTCTAGGTTTATGTTAAATCTCTTGGAAATGAAATGAGGATACTGTCACTAAAGAGGGGAAATGAGGTGAAGATTTTTCTTGTGTCTACTACTCTATAGGCAACCACCAGTCCTCGAGCCTCTGAATTCCACACCCCCCCCCCCCCCCCCCCCCCCAAAAAAAATAAAGCTCTAAAAAATTGTCTGCAACATATTTGAATTGAATTTCTGAGAGTCCTTAAATTAATAAATGTGTACTAGCACGTCTGGAATAGAGATTTCTAGGTCCCTCTGTCACCAACTTGTTTATTATACTTTTCTTTATACTTGTTCAATTTTGGGTATATATCTGCTACTTAGACTATGAAGGATGTGAATTATGTTATTTATTTGCCTTCTTTCTGTTTGTGTTTATTTTTTAAATTTACAGCAAGAACATATTCGGAACCAAGAAAGACGATTCGGGGTAATGGGCGTGTCACGATTCAATTTGGATGCTGTTACAACTATGCAGTGGTAATATTCAGTCCTTGCTTCTTTAATTTTTTTCATCTGTGGGGCTATTGTTACCCGAGTTGTACCTAAATTTCTCAATTCTTTTTTGCTTTTTAATAGGACAAAAATGGGAATCCCCCAGGAATAATCAGAGATGAAGAAGTTGATCCCATGCCCCCATTGTTCAAGCAAATGATCAAGAGGTTGGTCCGGTGGCATGTTCTGCATCCGGCGTTTGTCCCTAATAGTTGCATTGTAAATATGTACGATGAAGGGATCTGCATTCCTCCTCACATTGACCATCATGACTTCCTTCGGCCCTTCTGCACCATCTCATTCTTGAACAAGTGTGATATAATGTTCGGTGCAAGTCTGAGGGCGGTTAGACCAGGAGAGTTTGTCGGTCCTGTCTCCATTCCTCTGCCTGTCGGGTATGCCATCTTCAAAAATTCTTTTCTTTCCAAATACACAGTTAACTGTTGGTTACCTCCCATGCACTCCCCAAGCTAGAAATGCGGATCTCCTCGCGATAACTCATTTATCGAAGATATAAATAGTAATTATTTCATTTTGATTAACCCATATAAGATCAGTTTTCTATTACATATAACCTAGTTTCATCTTAAGAAAAATAAATAAATTTGTCGTGAAAAAGTGGAAAGAATTTATGTCTTTTAAATAAAATGGGCTAACAGGAGAGAACCAAAAATGAAAAGACTGTTACTCTGGTGAAGAGAGGGAATACTACCTTTTTTTGTTGATTCATGGTTTTATCTTTTTAAATGCTTGTAGTTTTGGAACAATAAGACATGATAGTCTGAAATTGGAATATTCGTATCATTTGTTTCTGTTTTGAACACGTTCATTTTACCTTTCTAAATCTCATTTTCACAAAGCTAATTCTTCTCTTTCTTAGTTACCGGTATGATTTTTTCACTTCAACTTTTGAACCTTGTGCTGAAGAACATCTTCAAATGCCACTAAGAAACATGATGGGATAATTTTGTGTCATATATATTTTTTCTATTGTTTAAGAAACTGCATATATATGAAATCTTATAGGGATGATGCCTATATTTGAAGTTATAAAACGTTTTCAAAAAGTCTTTGGTTTATAAATATTGTCCATTCTATATATTGTTCACTTCTGAGAATCTGAAGTTAATCTATCTATAAACTACAGATCGGTGCTCGTTCTAAAAGGTAATGGAGCTGACATTGCTAAACATTGTGTTCCATGTGTCCCAGCAAAAAGGTACTTTTAATCTTTCTATATAGCATAGACTTTTAAGGGTGATCTTTTTCCATTTCAACCATATGAAGAACGATTTCTTATTGAATTGCTTGTTTCAGGATTTCAATCACTTTCAGGAAAATGGATGAGAGCAAATTACCGTATAATTATTTACCCGACCCGGAGCTGATAAGTGTAAAGCCTCTCATGTACACTCCCTTGTTCTTACAAGTCCAACAAAACCAGCATGAACAAGAAGAGATCATCCATGGTGGACCTAGAGTGCTGCAGAGACCAGTATTAACGCATTTTTCATGGCATTATCCGATTCCCCTTCCCTCGACAGCTTGAATTGTACTCCTGTGAACCAGCAAAGGGCTAACAAAAACTGTTTGAAGTAATGAGGTGTATAGTATTATATGGATTCAAGTACTATTTTATGGTGTACATTTTTCAATTGTTAGATAATGAAAATTAGTTCATTCTTTTTACATCCTTGAAATAAATTCTTGGTGTATCAATCAGAGTTGAGTTATAGTAAAGTTCACATATAAAGTTTATTTTGTATAAAGACGGACCCATTTTTTTCTGATCCTTCGATAAAAAGACTGGCTGAGTCCTTTCTTTGGCCTTTTTGACTGCGTATAGATTTACTTTGTTGAGTGCTGCTTGAAAGCAATTTCAACTTAAAGGGCATTTGGATAAACGGACGAGGATCAGCTCAGTCCTACAGTGCCCCATTTCCTCCATTTTTGTAAGTAAAAGTGCATCCCAATATTTTCGTAAGGAACGTCACAATATCTTCTTACTATGCATTATAATATCTTCCTACTATGCATACCAAACATGGATGACGTGGCCATTTTTAGACCACTCATTTCAAAATGGAGTAAATGGCACACTGTTTCACTAGAGCTGATTTTCACCCTTGGATAAACATCCTTTGATGGCAGAATTTGAATTACTTTTTATGACCACCTAATTTTTCATTTGTTTTTTTTTTTTTCTAAATCAAAAAACAATTTTTTTATATTTCTAGCTTACAATAATGTCATTTATCTTCTGGTATTCAAATTTTATGGTATTCAAATTATAAAATTGGAACACTTATAATTTTCTTGAAAATATTTCATGCAAATGGAATAAAAATTTATTTTGTTTTTATTTACTATGCTATCTTTTACTTTCACTCTCCACTATTAATTTTTTCATTTAAACAATCGGGTGCCAAAACAAATGGAGTCTTTTTTAGAAAAGAAAAACAGTGATCTTTTTGGGATTCAAGTTGCCTTAAACGAAATAGGACTTAAAATGAAGAACTAAGCCAACGTGAATTGACATTGCAAGAATCTAGAACAATATGGAAAATTAATTCTGCAAAAGGAATGCAATCAAAACAGAATAACTAACGAAGAAGATGGAACCAAATTAAAATAATTAACTAAGAGAGAGTTGAATTAAACTAGAAAACTAGGAAAAAAACTAAATTAAACTATGAAAGCTTGGTACTAAAAAAATAATTTCATTAATGCGTAGATTTTACGAGGGTGCTGAGCCTTTACACATACTTCTACAATTATTTATAAAAAATTAAGAAGTCGTAAGATAAAATTAATTACTTCCTAAAACTATTCCAATTGATAACCGTCAACCCACGTGTATTGTCTTCTTTATTGAATAGAACAAATATATTCCCACATTAATCTCCTAAATATGGATATATATGTAGGAAAACCATATATTAATCATTTGTTGCAAAGCTTTTATTTCTTCAACAATATCTTCCTTCCATATTGCCACCTTCCTTCCATATTACCACCAAAACATAACATTGTAGCAACCTCAGAGCATCTCTAGGATGTGTTAAAAGACTCTTTGTTCACAATGTGTATTTTTTTATTATTTTTTTTTTCTCTCCAGCATTATGTCAAGATATATTACCAAGTGTAAAATTATTATATATGTTGCAAAATTCTTATACAGTCACGTCAGCATATTTTTTCTCTACTCCCTCTTTCTCATTCCCATTAACAAATCAACCTTATGTTAACTAAGTTTGTAAAATTTATGTGGGGTCTTGAGCTCGATAAGTGAATGGTTGTTATTGGCATATATATTTTTACACAAAAAGTATAAAACAATGGTTGGAGCTAAAAATAATTAGTCTAAAATTTTACATAACGCTACGATGACACATTAGATTTTTTCATTCCATTAACGAATCAATCTTATATTAAGTAGGTTTGTAAAATTTATGTGGAGTCTTGAGAATGATAAGTGGTTGGTTGTTATTGGCAAATATATTTTTAGAAAAAAGGTATAAAACAATGGTGGAGCTAAAAATAATTAATCTAAAATTTTGTATAGATTTACCATGACACATCAGATTTTTAAAAATATATATATATTGACAACCATTGGAGATGTTCTCACCTTCAAAGCCACAAACAGATGCCACATCACCACTTCCTTCACTTGCCACGTCACCACTAGTTGCCTTGCCAAAATGGGTGTCAACAAATAGTTACAATAGCTACCGCAAACCAGGAAATAGTCAAGAAATTGACATAAAAATAAACATGCACTGCACACACAAACTAAGATTTACGTGTTTTAATGTAAAGCGCCCACCTTTACGATGAAGATTCGGCATTTCATTATGCAAAAATAAGGTATTTATAAGTTTTAGCTTCCACACCCTATGTTTCTCTCTCTCTCTCAAACGGATTTCAATGTCCTCTCTGTTAAGAATTGTGGCTCATAATTTCTATTATTATTAGTTTCTGTTTTAGAGTTATTTTATATGTTAGTTTCTTGTAGGGACATGTTTTGCGCTCTAAGAAATTGTAATCCTTGTTCAGTAATAAATTGGGTATGAAACTCTATAAATAGACACCTAGGGTATTGTTGAGAGGTATAAGTGAAGAGACATGTAACCCATAAAGGCAATCTCGCGAGGGTGTGAGACAAAAGTGAGTGAAGCTTTTGTGAGAAACAATTGAGGGACAATTGTGTGAGAATTATGTGTGCTTCAATTGTGAGTTGATAGGTAGAAAGTATTAAGTTTGGTATAGTGAAACACTGAAGGTGAGAAGGTAACTCATAGTGAGAGGGCGTCTTGCAGTACACGGTGTAAGGTTAGGGTATTATTCCTCTACCCAAGCAGCAAGTTGCACAAGGAAGTGTACAAGCTATTTCAGTGTTGGTAATTCTCTACAAATTATAATATCTCCTCATCATTATAGTGGAATCTCCTCATCCATTGGATGTAGCCCTGAGTGTGGGTAAACCATGTTAATCTTGTGTTGTACAAAGTTTTGTGAATGTATTATTATTTTGGTTGGATTTTCATGTGTTCTTATTGTTCGCGGATTGCACTTTATAAAATGGAACCATATGCAGTTTAAGTGAAAATGGTTGCACTTGCGCACAAATGTTACAATGGAAGTTCAACCGGTGGCACTTATTTAGAATCTGTTGAACTTACATGTTGGTGCGTTTTTTGGTGATCGCTTCTTCTGCTTCGCTGCACCCCAACAAGTGGTATCAAAGCAATTGCACCATAACAAGGGGTATTAAAGGCAATAGTTCAGCTCGAAATGATGTTCAGAAGATACATAATACACAAGAAATCTCAACTAGTGTTGCAACAGGTGTTTAGTTGTAGGTGGAGTCAATCAGTCAGCTTGTTCAGTCACAATGGTCGTCGGGGTTCACTCTCAACTCCGAAGAAGAGTTGGTTCAATCTCTCAGCCTGAAAAAGATATGGTGGTTCTGCTTTTAGCCAAGGTCCGCTCCCAGCCTAAAAGAGGAGTAAGTTCGCGCTCTCAACTTGAAAAAGAGCAAAACAAAATCGTAATAAATTGCAGGGCAAGAAGTTCGAGTCAAGGTGGAGCCTTGAAGGATGATCAGAGGTGCACAAGATTAAAGTTGCATGAATTTTCTGATTCAGTTGTCGTGAGAAACGATGGTTGATCGTGGTGGAATTTGAGTCAAGGTATAGATCGTAAGAAATTGTGACTCATAATTCCTATTATTATTAGTTTCAATTTATAGTTATTTTATTATGTTAATTTCTTATCTCGGAAATGTGAATGGAAGATTTAGAACCATGCATGTTAATTTGTTGGACACATTGAACTAGATCAAGGACTAGTTAAGAAGATTGTGATAGCCGTCATAACAATTACTCTTTATCAATGTTATGCTAAGTGACTCTCAAGAATGGGAGAGGAATGGACTCCTGTAATACCCCTAGTTTTTAAAAGGGTATAAAAGGGATTTAATTATTTATTTTATTGTATTTTATATACTTATGTGCCTATATGATTCTATGTTTTTTTGTCTTAATTGCTTATGTGATTTATTTGATTTAATTGGGTGCTTGTGTAATTGATTAATTGGGTGTTTTGCTTGCTTAAATGATGCGTGGTTTAATTGTAATTATTTGTTAAGACTAAATGATTTATATGCTTTATGTTTTATTTTATTTTATTTTAAAGGATGGATTTGGATAGTAGTAATTCACAAATTATTTGGGTCACAAGGACTACTTGGATAGGAGGTTTAGATGGGTATGAATATTTACCCATGAATGGTGGTATACATATATATGGGTATATATGTATATATGGATAATGTTTAACACTATTATTAATTAATTAATTTATAATGGTAATAATAGTATTATTAGAATAAGTTAATTATATATATACTGTAACGACCCAGGTTTTTAAACCCGGTGCGTCAATGATGACCCAAAAGTTGATTCGATAACGGATCCGAAATGCGGAAGCAAAAGATAAAACCAAAGTCTATAGAGATATAAATCATCCCCAAGACACCAATGTGACCTTCCATGAAGTCACGGAACTCAAAGGAAATGAAAGCGAAAACAAAGGTCAAAACGGGCAAAAAATATTAACTAATGGCAAAATGGTCAATTCACAAATAAAAAGAGAATCTTGACTCTAAACAAGTCAAACAAGGTGAATACAACCTAATCTATTCATTTCACAACATTCCAAGAGGTTCCAAGAACATTGGACAAGAATTCCACAAAATGTCCTTTCCCGGTTTAAGCGAAAACTGACACTACCACACTAAAACATGAATAACTCCCCATCGTAATGAAAGTGCTCCGAATCCGACGAAACTTCGGAGTTTTGTCAGGGAGAACACGGTTAACAAGAATCCCTAGGAAGCCTCCATCAAAATTATAACTTGACTTCAAACCCAAATCAAGAAATGGCCAAAACGAGATTCCAATCAGTGGAATCGAAGGCCTCACCAAGACGAACATAAAATACTAAGGCACTATAACATTTCATTGAAGGGAAGAAGCTCAAAAGAATAAAGAGAAGATGGCAGTCATGGCTGCTATGAAATCCGGCCAAGAGAGGGAAAAGAGATAGAGAAAATCTGATTTTTCTTATTTC